GCAGTTGGCAGGAATCAGTCTGTCCATCAACAGGCCTGCAGGAAGTGGCCAAACACAGCTCTAATAACTTTCATCAAGTAACCAATGGTAAGAGTGATCCAGGTTGGCCAGCGTGTAACAGCACGCAAGTGAACAAGCGCAAAATTCAGGGAAATATCCTCATACTGACAAACTACTTCACAGAAAGCAATTTTTCTCAAAAAATGTTATGGATTAAAAAAAAAGGCAGATATGCAAGAGTTTAAGAAGGAAGTCGAAATAATCTTAGTTTTTAAAAGTAGGTTCTACATGAACCTTTAGCTCCATCTGATGAAGAAGCCCCTTGAAATTACAAGGGTCAATTTCTGGGCAGGATGCCACTTAAGCTGTCTCATTGCATTTCTCTCTCTGTCCCCCACCAGCTAGGAACATAGTTACTACTACAAGGTAATTGTTTTTCTGTGAGCTTATCTGTGTGTGGTCAACATAAGGCATCATCGAAAACGGCAAGACTCCTGGAAAACCCATGGGGATAACCAAAATAAAAATGAACTATAGGCACAACTTCAAGTTCTCTTTGATGACTAATGACAGGTTAAGACTTGGGCCTCCCCGGTGGCTCAGCGGTTGAGCGCTGGGTTGCGAAGCTATCCGCAGCCTCTGCAGCACCAGTTGGACCCCTGGCTGCTCCCCGGCCACTGGAGGAGGGTCCCGCATGGCGTGCAGACCTCTGCTGCCGCCTGCTGCTCCCCTCAGCAGTGTACTTTGGTCCTTCTGCCTGCTCTGCTCCCTGCTCTGGCTCTGGTGAATTCTCTCACCCTCCTGCACTTCTCACTGTACCCAGTGCTTGTATAAATAAATAAAAATAAATCTTTAAAAAAAAAAAAGGAGTAGCATCGTCAGTGATCATTGGTCTTTAGGTATAAGGATAGTCTCCCCTAAAAGAGGTAGGGGTTGATAGAAGGCAGATTCTATAAATGGGCAAATGGGTGCTACTTCAGGATCTTATGAGCAAAATATTACCCTATTTTAGCATTAACTACTACACTTTATTACTGGAGAAGGTAGGTCACACCTATAGGGATGTAATTTGACTCAATACTCAAGGCCTATTTTTATTCTTCCTTTTATTTTTTTTTTTACTTTTGCATAGAAGAACTGGGGTGTAGGCCAGAGGTGCAGGGGGTGAGAGGATTCACGAGAGACAGAGTGGGGAGCAGAACAGGCAGATTTACTGAAACACACTGCTGAGGGGAGCAGCAGGAGAGAGAGGAGAGGTCTGCAGTGCCCTGTGGGTTAGCTTGCTGGCCAGGGATTGAACTCAGGCCATAGCAGTAACAGCACTAAGATTTAACCCCTAAGCCACCAGGGAGGAACTATTTTTGTTTTTCCAAGTGGCAGTTGTCCTAATTCTCAAGTTCTTTAAAAAAAAAAAAATCTTAAGAAACCTATACTAGTGGACCAATGTCTTGCAGACCTCCATGCCATAGCAGAGTAGCTCTTTGACACTATGACCTGACACCACACCACCTTGGAAGATGCTTTTGTTGATTAGTAATTAATACAACAGGTCATTTGTAATTCACATAAAAATAAAGCAAGAACCTGAGCTATCTTATTCCAAGCCTTCGAAATGTGACAGGACCCTGAAATGAACTCTTACATGAGCAAGTAGATCATCTGAACAAGGAGATACACTCTATCCTGCTTATCCTTGTCACACTAAGTTCACTGTAAAGTCTTTTCCTGTAGAATCTGCATCTCACTACACAGGCTAGTCCAAACTAAGATGTGCTGTACTGTAAATGTCACATTGATTTTAAAGGTTTAGTTCAAAAATTAAAATGCAAAATACCTAGCTACTAATATTTATAGTATGTGTTGAAATGACCTTTTGGGTATACTGCATTAAACAATATTATTAAAATTAATTTAATCATTTCTTTATTTTTTTGTATTTTCTTTTTTTAATATTTTATTTTTTACATCATTGTTAATTTTTAAACAATATTTCTTCCCCCCACCCCCTCAGGTGTAGTCCTCATAAAGTTTCCTTCACCAATACACCTGTCACCATCACCTCAGTCCCCTGTGCTCCTCCCTCCCTCCCTTTGATCCCGCTCCCTCCTCTTCCCCCTGCAGTATGTCTCTGATTCTTTATATTTTTTATAAATAAGAACACTAGCATGTTTGGGCAGCAGTACTTGAGACCCAGGAATTGCAGGGGAAGATATACATAGCTTTTTGCAAAATGAGCAGAAGTTTATCTGTAGACTTTATAACACAAGCATTTCCCATGTCTGCTGACCTTGTCATTAACAGCATTTACAAGCAACATTCTTATCAGAAGACTTCCCTTTAATCTCCCATCAAGATGCAGTGTCATTAATTTAGCTTTTTCCTGAGCCACATTATATGTTAAATGTAGTCTACAAGAAGTATCTTTGAAAGGCTTCACCCTGAACACTTGCCAGTCATCCAAGACTTCTTAGATGATTCTTATAATTTACTGTTAACAATAAAGTTTAAGCTTCATTAGCATCCCAGGAAACGATTTTGCTTGTCTAACTCAGATATACATATCCATATATTGGATAGATGGGGCTTTCGCTATTGTTTGTCTTATAAAAAGTGGGGAGTAGGCCTCCCCGGTGGTGCAGCGGTTGAGCACTGGGTTGCAAAGCTGCCTGCAGCCTCTGCAGCGCCGGTTTGATCCCGGGCAGCCAGGCGAGGGTCCCACATGGCGCGCAGACCTCTCCTGTCGCCCGCTGCTCCCCTCAGCTGTGTACTTCGTCATTCTGCCTGCTCTGCTCTCCCCTCTGGCTCTGGTGAATTCTCTCACCCTCCCGCACTTCTAACTGTGCCCAGTGCTTATATAAATAAATAAATAAATCTTTAAAAATAAAATAAAATAAAAAGTGGGGATTAACTTATACACACTCTTCTGTAGCTTTTCTTCTCAATAGAGTGCATTTCTCAGACAAGGTACTCAAGTTCACTTTCTAAGTGACTATGTAATATTTTATGGGTTAATCTAGAGGTTATTCTAGAAGCTGGTCAACCTTCCCCTTATAAATTTTGGGGGGGAGGTTGGCTTTTTTTCCTTTGCTGCTACTAAAAATGCCACAATAACATATTTATGGTTTTTAAAAAATGAATAGATTTGGAGATTTTTAATAAATTGCATTAAATTTATTCATTTGAGGAAAATGGCAGTCTTATGTTGTTGAATCCTTCTAGCCATAAACATAGCATCTATTTTTGGATTCAGCCATGTCCCCCTATATGGGGAATTTGCAATCTAATAAGGAAATGAAGTTTGTGTGCAAATAGCCATGATGAAAGAAAAATGGAAACACAAATTGGGGGGAGCAAATATAGAGTGAGAGGTGCTTTGTTTAGGATCTGACACACATGACGTGCAGGACAGGAAATGGTACAAGGAGATGAGCATCTGGGAGAAGGAAAGTTCAGCCAATAGGAGTCACTCAAGAATAGTAAAGAAGGGGGCCTTCCTGGTGCCGCAGGGGTTATAGACAGTGCTAGCAAGCTATCACCAGCCACTGCAGCATGAGTTCGATCCCCAGCCAAGGGAGCAACCCACAAGGCACAGCAGACATCTCCTGACTCACCCGCTGCTCCCCTCAGCAGTGTATTTCAGTAGATCTGCCTGTTTCTGCTCCTCACTCTGTCCCTGGTGAATCCTCTCACCCCCTGCACCTCTGGCTTACACCCCAGTTCTTGTATGCATAAATAAGTACATCTTTAAAAAAAAAAAAAAGTAAAGCAGCAGCTTGTGGAGCTCAGAGAACTCACGGTGAAGAGACAGGACGTAAGGAAGCGATAGGCGGGGGCTGAGATCATCCACAGCTCAGCGCACCGGGAAGAGGCCTACAACCTTCCAGGACAATGGGAGTGATGGTCATGTTGGAGCAATACAAGATGAGGTGAGAGCTGTGTTTTAAGGTCACTCAGACCAGTGTATGAAAAACAGACTAAGACAAGGGCCAGCACTTGTAAGAAAAGGATTATAATTATCCACGGAGAGGACACTAGGTCTGAACCAGAGGGCAGGAAGAAAGGTGAAACACACCTTGGGGCCCAAAATGGGAATTCAAGTTCTCATTAGAATAAGGAGGGGAAAAAAGAGATGTGTTTCTTGTCTCGAGCCTGGGTGAATGAACAGTTGGACGGTGATGCCACTGACACGGATGGACAAAGCAGAACAAGTTTAAGTGAAAGATGATTAGTTTCTCTTCAGACATCATGTCAGTAGGATGTCAACATCCAAAATGTGAGGGCCATCTTTGTTTTGCTAAGAATAGCGATACATTTTTAACTCCCTTGGAAAACCCTAACAAATGAGCTTACTTTCACGGTATACTCAGAGTCTACAGGTTTCTCTTCTTTCAGGAAAAGTTACTAGATTCTTCCTTTCCTCCTCAGCAAGGTCTCCTCTTCAGTGTCTCCGATACATAGTAGAAATTCTTTTGGATATCCTTCCCTAAACTCTGCCATGCTGAGCAGGCAAGGAATTCCCTGAAAGCTTTATAAAGGGACGATGGGAATAAACTTAAGCAAATCTTAGAACTAAGTTAATCCAGTCATATTTTAAGATAAAATTTATACGGTTAAAAATATTAAAGTCACGGCTTCAGTTTTTTCTAAATAAAACCTGGATTTTAAAATAAAAGTAACTTACCATTTTACTACTAAAATTTTGCTACCAAACTATGCTTTAAAATGATTTTTCTTTATAAACTAATGGTGCAAAGCAATTATCAATAAAGTTTTGATAAGGGCATATATAGAGATATGGCAACTTCCAAACTAAAATTTTGGTGATGCCTGATTAGAAGGCAAAGCTGAAAGGACAAAACTGACAACTATAGAAAACTCCAGAATGCTCTTTTATTTAGCAACTACTCATTTGCAATACCTGAATTTTGGGGGTGAGAGGATGGAGGAGACAATTTAACGAACATGAAACTATATCTTGCAAAAAATAAAAATGTACAAACCTCATAATGTTCATATTCATCCACATCAAATGTCTCAAAGTCAAAAAATCCATGTTGTAATCCCTAAAAGCAGAATTTGAATTAGTTTTTTCCACACTAAATCGAATCTTCTAGCTATTCCCATATTCTTGTTCATAAACATTATTGGTGAGGTAATAGGCTGAAACCTCTGAATTTTAATACACATTTAGAAATCATTTTCTAACACTATTAATTTTGCTTTGAGACTGGTACAAATAGGAGTAAACACTTAGAAAAGCAGGCAAATGTGTCCCACAAAATATGCCACTTGAGTCCTAATTTACATTAGTTTGATATATAAAATTAATTATGTACACAAAATAGAACATATTAGCAAACATAGTTAAAGTCTTTTGGGAACTATGCAATTAATCCATGCTGAACCATGCCAAAATATATCGTTGCAGTTAACTTCTCAGAGAGCAAAATAATATCAAGTTTTCTTAGGAGGTTTTTCCCTTTATCATTAATAAAAGATTTAGTGAAAAGTACATTTTACTTAATGGGCTCATATTTAGTCCTACAACTCTTTGAAAGAATTTGTTTTATGGCAAGTTTCTAAAAGAGTAAAAGTATACTGTTCTTAGAATTTAGAAGGAAACCTGACATTTTCAACATAAAAAAAACTATGCTCTTTTTTATAACTTGTGACTTAGAACTTTCAAAAACAATCTGGTTTGCTCAGATATAATATTTTGGGTTTTTTTAAACTTTTTTATTTTATTTCATAAAATCTTTAAAATTTACATATCCAATTAACAAAAACTAAAAAAAAAAAACATGCTTACTACCATATCAAGTCATATGCCATACCATATTTGTAGCAGGATATAGCCTTTCCTTAAGTCTCAGCACTATCGAGCTATCAGCAGCCAATGCATCATGAGTTCTATCTCTGGCCAGGGAGCTACTCCACATGGCACAGCAGACCTCTCCTGTCTTGCCCCCTGGCTCCCCTCAGCAGTGTATTTCAATAGATCCACCTGTTCTGCTCCCCACTCTGTCTCTGGTGAATCTTCTCACTCCCTGCACTTCTGTCCCAGTTCTTTTATGCATAAATTAAAAAAAAAAAAAACAGTTCTTCTATGCATAAATAAATAAAAATCTTAAAAAAAAAAAGATATGCTTCCTAAAAAAGGCAAACATGTGGTTGCACCCTATGTCCCTGGAAGGTATGGTACTCACTGCCATAAGAACAGCCTAGAACATGGAGCTTACATGAGAGTGTACTGACAGGCAATGTGTGTCAATTGCTTAAAGACATGTTGAACATCTGTTCAAATCTCTAAAATTTCATCCACATTTGGGTTAAAATAAACCCCAACATTTGACAAAAAAAGTTTTCAGAAGAGCTTATTCCTGAATAAAAATTATACCTTTCCTTTACAACAGGAAGGATGTCACAAATTTGTAAATCAAGTTACCAATGTCCACACGAGGCAAGGACATGTGAACTCTTTCTGAATTTCATAAGCATTATGAAAGGAAGAGCATGTACCAGATATCAGGATAAGCAAAATAGAAACACTGGCGATAAATTATCTTTTCCTCTTAGGCATATTTTTAAGTGCTGTAATTATGAATTATATGTTGATTAGTATCTGCATAAAGATCCTTAACTTAAGAAGAGTGTATTGGCGATATTATTTGCAGGGGATGAGCTAGAGAATCTTGGCAGTTTTTAAGTGAAAAATAAAAATATTTGGAAACTATTTCAAAGTTTTATAGAGTTTAAGTGCATTTTAAAGTGAAATATCAAAGTCAGAGACATAAATAAAGCAGGTAAGCACGCTTCTCATGTCAATTCTCTCAACACATAACAAAACTTGATCTATATTACATCAGAATAAAGAAATGAGCTGGAATTGCTACTGATACTATATTTATAACCCATGATAGGGAGTATGTAATACATTCACTCCTGGCTGATAACTCATGGTTATATGTTCAAGATGAAATGACGTGGTTCAGACCCCATTAGAATTCACAGGAGAGGGTGTCCCTTGTGGCATAGGGGTTAAGGCTCAGTGCTATCACCTTGAGGCCTGAATCCCAGCCAGGGAGTTACCCACATGGTGCAGCAGACCGCTCCTGTCTTGCCTGCTGTTCCCCTCAGCAGTGTATTTCTGTTCTGCTCCCTAGTCTGTCTCTGGTGAATCCTCTCACCCCCAGCCCCTGCCGCCCACACACACATCTCTGGGCTGCACCCCAACTCTTCTATGCATAAATAAATAAATCTTTTTTTTAAAAAAGACAGAGATTGCACAGAAGGGCTTGCATGTCCTCTCAGATTATGAATGTTTCTAAAACAATTTTCAAAAGTTTTATAAAATCTCTGATTTCTCCATTTTATGTGTGTATATGTATATGCATGCGTATGTTTATATATATATATGTATGTATATAACTAAATAACTATAAACCTTAAAGTGCATCCAGTCACCTATAGGATTTTTTAAACACAGAAAGACAGTTGGTCTGGGACAGCGACTGAGAATTTGCATCTCTGACAGACTGATTTATGACATACCCTGATATGGTATTAGAGAGAATTCTGGTTGAATTAGGAGATGAAAGTTAGAATTAGCCCTCCTAGTAATTAATACTCTATGGCCTTCAGAGTAACTTAACCTCTCTGGGTTATTTCCTCCTCTGTAAAAAAGACATGTTAATGTCTGGCCTACTTATTATTTTATGGGCGTGTAATAATATCCAACTAGAAAAACAATATGGAAATGTTCTCCTTGACACTTACAGAGAAGGGCAGAGGCGTAGATAACTTCCTGTGTCTCCTACACCAAGATCTAGCTTATAAGAGAGAAGCTAAGGGCCTTCCTGGTGGTGAAGGTGTTAAAGTCTCAGCACTGTCAAACTATCACCAGCCACTGCAGCATGAGTTCAATCCCAGGCCAGGGAGAAACCCACATGGCACAGCAGACCTCTCCTGTCTCACCCCTACTCCCCTCAGAAGTGCATTTCCGTAGATCTGCCTGTTCTGCTCCCCACTCAGTCTCTGGTGAATCCTCTCACCGCCCCCCCCCCACATACACCTCTGGCCTACACCCCAGATCTTGTATGCATACATAAATAGGTAAAAATAGTGAAACTAAATGGTGAAAAAAGCAAAGTTATAGGCACAGCAGAAGACAGAAGGGACAAAGCTTCCCCAGAAAACAGATAACTTGAATGAGATTATCTCCTCACTTTTATGCGTTCTGCTTCTGCAGAGTTACTCCCCAAACCTACTCCAGTTTGCCCTACAGTCTCTATTTTACAGATTAATAATTATTCAAGAAGGAGCAAGCCCTCTGCTCAGTGGCTCCCCTCTCCTCTCTCCAGCAACAAACAAAAATGTTGACATTATTACTTTTTCATATTTTTATTTCTGCATCAACGACAGCAAAGGGATTTGTTATTACCTTTCTGATTCCCTGCAAACAGTCAAGGATGGTGAGATTATAAGTGCAATTTCCAAAGGAAGCATCCCTATAAACATACAAAAAAAAATTAGAAACTTGTATTTAAAATATTCAAATAATAAAATATCAGAGTCCATTGGCTTCATGGCTGGCAATATGGTCAATTGCTATATCAGATTTTACTACTTAACTACTCCTGCATCTTAGTTGAAGTACTTCTGAAATTGTTTTAACCCAATAGGCAGAATTAATATGAAAAGACTTAAGAGCTCAAATTTTGGAGTCAGACTACCTTTGTTCACATTCCAACTCTGTCACATACCGAGATCTTCAACAAGTTATTTAAAATAAGTTTTGGCTTCTTCATCTGTGAAATGAAGTTACTGACAGTAGCTACCATTCGTACAACTGCCCTCAGATTACATTTTTGAAAAAATGTAAAGTTCTTCATATAGTGGCTACCACATAAGGAGTACTTAATAAATATTATGACTCATTATTATTAATAACAGTAAAAAGGACTGTTTCGTTAAGTAAATCGTTCATCATGGTTAAGTATTCTGACATCAACCTGTCAGGAACATGAAAGATAAAAGTATAAAAGGCAAGAGGGATTGTGTGTCAGGTCAATGGAACTAGCAGTGACATTCATGGATTAAATGCCACCCCCTTAACCCCCCTCAAAATAAAAAAAGTACAATGCAATCCCATGTCAATCTCTTATCAAGATCCATGAGAGCTTCTCAAGCATCATGAAATGTTCTAGCAAAAGGAGTTTCCCTGCAATATACTGCATCAAGAATTGAGTGCTTCATACTTTATTTAAGTTTTTAGAGCAACTTAGCAGACCTGGTTGAGGCAACATAAAACTGAAGTATCAAGTTCAGGTCGGTTAAGCAAGAACTGGCACTGGTGCTTTAACACTAGCAGTGTTCCAAGGTGTTCAAGGCAAGAAACTTGACCTCCAGGCTCTCTGTCTCTCTGCCCAGCCCCCACCCCTCCACCCCCACTGACCCAAAGGAGCAGAGCAGCCAGGCAATTGCCAATGACAAAGTCAAGGGCACCACAGAGTCAGCACAAGGGCAGGAGGATGCCAGAAGATTTCCACCAGGAGAAAAGGAACTTTAAGGGTTTTAACACATAATTAACATAAAACCAGCTTTTATATCACAACTATCCAACGTAACTTAAACCTGTGGTTTTAAATCATGAATTCAAATGCAGTTTCAACATCACTGAGTTTAAGCATCTTGATAACCAAGTATAAAAACAGTAAGTCATTAAAGCAGCTTACTAGAAAAGTTTCTTAAGTCCTGAAAATTCAAAAGTTAACCTATATAAATAGGACATGTTAGTCTAGATATTTAATTATGATTTCAAGAGTTCTTTTTTTAATGTCATCTGAACTCACTGGTCAGTGAAAAACAAAACAGCCCCCTTTGCATCTTAGAAAGACATAATGCACATATTAAGAAGCAAATTCTATAAGACAACACAGTTTTAAAAAGGAGAAAATTTCAAGGCACTAAACTAGAAAAAGGTGTAGCTGAGGATTTAAGACAAAATATTAATTTTTATAAATAACCACACATGCTGTCGGAGACACTCGGCTCTTTGAAAAAAGGGTTCCGAATATTTTGTGTGCCGTGTAACCTCCCACCATCACCTTTCAGGAAAACGATGAAGCTTGTGAACTCTTTTTCAAGGATAGTATTTTTAAACATCTAACAAGGAATCTAACAAGGTGAGGGAGAACACTCTCTTCACTCTGTTCCTGATTTTCCTTCGACCTCTCTAAACACCACTCCTCCCAACCTCCTTTACAAAACCACCTTTCACCTCCCAACCTTTTAAAGTTAAGCTACTCAAAGTTCAGCTCCAGACTCACATTCTTTACCCCCCACACTCTCTCCCTAGGCCAGTGACTCCCAAACCTTTAATGCATCAGCTTCCCCTGGACGGTTCCTTCAAACACTGAGTGATTCAGTAAGTCTGGGGCACAGCCTGGGGATATGCATTTCTAACAGGTTCCCAGATGGTGCTGACAGGAGGGACCACATATTGAGACCCACTGCCCTACAAAATCTAGTCCACAAAAATTAGCATGTATCTACAAGGACCCTCAAATTTATTTCTTTAGCACAAACTCCTTAAAACTCCAAAACAGTATAGATAGCCATCTGCGTGATATTTCCGTGCAGGAGTCTTAAAGGTATCTCAAACTATAATTGTGTAAAAATTCTCCTGAGTCTGCCTCCATGCCAAAAGGACAATTATCTGGGATGCCAGCACTCCCTCTCATAAAAGACAGTTTCCACAACAGCCCCAACAGAAACAGCTCTGTCCACAACAGTCCCTCCAGCTCTCCCATTCTTGCATCAATATGCCCCATTGTCCTTGTCCTCATAAATGTCTCCTCAGTGCATTTACTTCCCTCGTGCTCCCTGACACCTCTGACTCCTGTAACAGTCTCCCTACATCCACTCAGCCTTTCTCACCAGTTTTCTTCACTGCTAACACAGTACCTGGCACAAAAGAAATATTCAATAAATATCATAAATAAATATTAAAATTAAGCAAAGAAGTTTAGGAGTTTATCTCAAGAAAAACAACTATAGTATTCTATGGTCGCTCTGTTAACGCAATAGCCTAATACCTCAAACCTCACTAGTAAGAGAAACTTTCTTTGTATTAACCCAAAATCCCTTCTATTCAAGACCATTCCCTTGTGTTCTCTTTACCAGAGAGTATTACTTGAATAGATCTAAAGGCAGTGATACTCAAAGTAGTTTACTCTTCCTTTATCAAGTGGTATTAAATAGTTTTATTTTAACCCAGACACTTGAGAGAAGCTCTAAAGAGCTTTAAGGCTTTAAATCACTATAGCAATGTGCTGAAAACTTTTATTTTTTATTTATTTTTATTTATTTTTGCTAACAACTATTAAACTCCCACAGATTTTATTGCTGTAGTTCATGCAAATGTACTGAACACAATGCTCAAATGTTTATTTAACTCCTGGGTTGTTTTTTCACTCATTTATCTATACAGTCCATTCATATTTATTGAGCAAAATATTTACTGAGTTGAGTAGAAGAATATGTTGTATTTTTTTACCTCTCTCATAAGGAACCATTGAAATCCCACAGATTTCAACTGAAGGAAAAACGCTGCATACCTCTTGCTGCCTAAGAAAACTACAGATCTTGCCTTATCTGTCAAGATATTTTTACCATGTATTACTAAATTACTCTCTTAAACAGGTAAACGCAGACTGCTCTTCATTCAGGAGATAAGATAATACCCCAAACAGCCAGGGTTCCTAATCATTCATCTCTGCTAAAGAATAAATCACATGTCTCTAATCCACATTACAGAAGACTAACACAATAGTCAGCAGCTGTCTAGAGACAACCAAATGCAAGTTTAGCTCAACATCTTGCTTGACATCTAAACTCCCTCCATCCTATCTTTCTAACCCAATTCTGTCATGTGAATTCTAGCATAACAGTCAAATGAACCATAAGGATATTATGAAGTAATTATAGAAATCCACAGGACTATGACCTTGGAGAGGTTTGCAGTCATTTGCAATCAAAATACTTCAATAAAAAACTAAATGAATGGAAATTTGAATAGATGGTGTAATTAGGATTTTCTCTTATGTTTATGCTTTAGCATTTATTTGCAGTGAAATGGTAGAAGAAAAAAATTAAATAAAAAAACAGAATCACAATCCATCATTAATTACAAAGAAACGGGGTTTGATACACTTGAGCTGTCTCCTACAGGATCTTAAGGACCAATTGTTAAATATTCAGGAATTTTGAGAGCCCAAGTTAGCAACAGTGGAAATATTTACACCAAGGAAATCAGCAAATACTTCCACAAACAGAGTTACTTTACCAACACACCATTGCTTATAATCTAAAAATCTAAGAAATCATTCGGAGTGAAGCAACCTTGTAAATGTAAATTAAGAGGCAATGGAACCAGAGATAAAATAACATATTTACATGACACAATAAGAGAGCATTTCTGGTAATGAAGTTTTATGAACTGAAGAACAGAGGCATAGTGTGGACAATGCAGAGACTACACTAAAGAATGAAAAAGAGCTGACAGTAAGTGGACTAAAAATACTGGGGATGGGGTCTCCCTGGTGGTGCAGGCGGTTGAGCGCAGTGCTGTGAAGCTCTCCGCGGCCTCTGCAGTGCTGGTTCGATCCCGGCCGGCCGGCAAGATACCCACATGGCACGGCAGACCTCTCCTGTCTCACCTGCTACTTCCCTCAGCAGTGTATTTCGTCAGTCTGCCTGTTCTGTTCCTCACTCTGTCTCTGGTGAATCCCCTCACCCTCCCACACATCTGGCCTGTACCCCGGTTCTTGTATAAATAAATAAATCTTTAAAAAAAAGAAAGAAATACTGGGAATGACTAATGACTTTACTTATGTATGTTTTCATTCCATGATTCCTATTAAATTCTCTGGATAGCAAGCAGTTAAGAGGTGTGTGAATATCTGCAGAGCAATGAGTTGGAAAGGATCACAAAGGTCATGCAAGCACCCTTCCCATTACTGAACTGAGTCCCAGCTACACAACCACCACAAAATCATGAGCTTCTTAAGGACAGAATCTTTTTTTTTTTGTTTTGTTTTGTTTTATTTCTTGACTTTATTATTATTTGTTTTAAATGAAAGTATTCTTAATTAAAGTTCTAAATATCTTTGGATAAAAGGTGAAGAAACTGGAATACCAATATTACATCTCAACATATTTCTCCCATTTGCTTTTTTTTTTTTTTTTATACTTTTTTTTTTATTAGATAATAAATTTTATTGTTATATTCCCCATACAATTGCAGCGCCCCCATTCTGACCACAATCCCTCCCCTCCCGCCCCTGCCCCCCTAAAAGTGTCTCTGGTTCATAGTTTTTTGTTGATTTTGATTTTCACTTTCTTATAGTTATTCATTTTCCTGGTCCCTTATTTAAGTTTTCTAGATTCCTGCTATGAGTGAGACCATCCGGTATTTTTCTTTTTCTTTTTGGCTTATTTCGCTGAG